ATGTTTGAGTACTTTTGATGAAGCTGCTTATGCTTGTAGCAAACTGTCAGAAGGTACCTTTTTCTAATCAAAACGCACAATTTGAAATATTCTTTGAAGGCGCTTAATCAACTGGGTGCACCAGTCACAAGATTCTTTTCTTTTCTGACATACCCCTGTTCTAATCAATTGGAATGGTCTTAAACAACTGGTTGCATCTCTAAGATGCACATTGTAATTTCTGCCTGTCGCGAAGCTGCGACGTGGGGCAAATAAAATGGCGGAGTGTTTTCCTCCTGATATGCAGCACCGAGGGGGGCTAAAGGCCTTGGGATCCTCCACCTCACCTTCTTCATGCAAGGCATCAGGTCATATGCTGATGCATGTGGTCCATGCTTCGTTTATAGGTCGATCCGGTTGGTCAGAGTCTGTTGATTGGAACGGGTATTCATTAAAGTGTAGTTTCTGTGGTAGGATCAGAGTTGTGAAGGGCACGCCGTTTCGCAAAAATATTTCAAAGTGTAGTTTTATGGTAGTTTAATTGAAGTACGATACGTATAATTTCATGAAATTTGCTATATGTTTCTTCTTTTGGTAATCCTGATGATTTTCTGTTCTTGATGTTTGCTTTGTTTTGGATGTTTGCTTTGTGGTTTCATTCGTGATTGGGCACTTTAGGTACTTAATGGAGCCATTTCAAACAAGTGACACATGATTGTAGGACACTTTGTGCTTTTCCAATCTGGAATGATGATTTCACTCTATTATTCCTCACAAATTCTTAAGTATACAAGCCAACTTATCTTCATCAATATGTCAGCATTTTTTTAACTGAGTTAAGCGCAAGAAGATTACCTGTTTTGGATTACAGCTTGTTAATTTACTATGTAAATATGGTGTAAAATTTATAACTTGTAGCACATACTTTTCTTATATTGAATGTAGTGCATTTGTTGCTTGTTTTGTAGTGTTCTATAAAGCCATGCTGAATGCATCATGTCATTCTATCTTGTAGGTCAGGGCGGTGGGTTTGATATAGATTTGATCAAAATGGTGTCGGATGCTGTGACAATTCCTGTCATTGCAAGCAGTGGTGCTGGTGCTGTGGAACATTTTTCTGAAGTCTTTGAGAAAACAAATGCTTCTGCTGCCCTTGCTGCTGGCATTTTCCATCGGAAAGAGGTATACTATCCCACCATTACATTTCATCGAAATGCTGTCATAAGGGCTACTCCAACGCGCCGACCCAAACGGATGCGGATTTTGTTTGCTTTTTGTCCGTTTGGGTCGGCCGAGTGGACAGCGTGTCCGCTTTTTTGTTTGGGCCGGCAGGTGCGCCCAATGGTGGCCGACGCATTTTGTCCGCGTGGACTTAAAAAAAAGTTCAAACACATGCGCACAAAATTAAACATAGTTAAACATTAAAACGGCCGGTCAATCGCTGTCCCAAGTCCACCTAAACATAATTTTTTTTAAAACATGCACCTCCCAGCCGCCCAGCACGCTGCGCGAGGCGTTGTCATTGTCATCACCGCCGCTGAGGTCGACGAAGTCCGGCGGCATCGGAGCCCATGGGAAGGCCTGTTGCCACGCCGCGCGCCGCCTCCTCTAACGTCTGCTGCGTCGACAGCTCTGCCGCGCGATGCGCGCTCCTTCTCTTCCTTCGGTGCCCAGCGGGCACGCCACTCCTCCTTCTCGCGCTCGGCCTGCATTCGCCGCTCGCCGTCGGCCCGCTCCTCCGCCAGCGCGCGCTGCCTCCACTACTCGAGGTATGCCGCCTCCTGCTCCGGCGTCGCCGCCAGCCAGATGGCTGGCGCGCTCACCCACTCGCGCAGGCCGCCAGTCCAGGCGTACTTCTCTGGCTCGGCCTCTATGGGCTCCTCCTTGGGGGCAGCCGGCGCTGGTTCAGGCAGCGGCGGCGGTGGCGGAGGGTAGATGCAGTCCCCCGCCGCCGACAGCTGCAGCGCCTCCTCCATGCCCGGCCAACGCGAGTCCTCGCGCTTGGACTCATCTCCTCTAGGGCGCGCTGGAGCACCTCCTCCAATGCGGCTTGGTAGGCCTCCTCCTCCTTCGACGCCACCATTGGGGCGGTGGTATGTAGCCGGCGTCAAGTTGAACGCCGCCGCCGCGGGCCACATCGAGCTCGGTGGCGAACGGCGTACGCCGGATCGCGACGCTGCTCCGATGTTAGGAGGGCACGGGCACGACGCTTGCACACCTCCTCCGCAGGCGCGCGGGCGACCGCGACAACGTCGACACCTGGATGCCGTGGGGTCAAGGTGCCAACCGTGGGGGAGATTGATGTGCCAGTGGTACCGCGCGCAGTGCACCGGGACGTAGAGCCGGTCCCGTGGCCGGTGACCCCTCCCGGCACGCGGCACCATTGCGAAGCCGTCCAGCGGCATTGGCGGCGACACATGGGATGAGCCAGCGCCGGTGTTGAACTTGTACTTTCCCTTGTTGATGGAACCCATGGCGGACGCGCGGGCTGGCTAGGCTAGGGTTTTCTGTCGCCGGCGCGGGAGCGAGGCTGGCCAGATGTGGACAGGGGTGAGAGGAGCAGTGGATGAGGCCGCCCCCCTCGCACGCTCGTGGACTCCGAAGGCTTGCCCCAAGGTAGGTGGACGCATTGACTAGGACCGCGTGGGATAGGTGGGCGGCCAACATACGGGCCCGAGACGGACACCAAGCGGATGTGCGGAGTGTCCGTTTCGTGTCCATGTGGACGCAAATCGGGCGCAAATATGGGCCAGGAATGCATCTAGACGGACAGCGGGCGGACGGATTTTGGGTTTGCGTCAGTGCGTTGGCACGGCGTTTTTGTCCGTATCGACTCAAATGGACACGCATGGACCATTCCCAAGGTAGGTGGACGCATTGACTAGGACCGCATGGGGTAGGTGGGCGGCCAACATACGGGCCCGAGGCAGACGCGCGGCGCGTTCGTCTCGTGTTCATGTGGACGCAAATCGGGCGCAAGTATGGGCTGGGAATGCATCTAGACGGACAGCGAGCGGACGGATTTGGGTTTTCGTCGGTGCGTTGGCCCGGCGTTTTCGTCCGTTTCAACCCAAACAAACACGCAAGATCATTTGTGTCGGCGCGTTGGAGTTGCCCTAATGCCCAGCTAATACCATTTCTCTGACACCAATCTTGCCATCTTTTCATAGTAAAGTACATGACTATCCATTAGTTAATTGGTGTCAATACGTTATATCTTCATTCCACAAAGGCCGTGAGGTCTTGGTAATTCTTATGCACAGTATCTTAAGATCCTTGCTCCTCTTGAATTCTGCAATGGCCGATTTATTCCAGCAGCTATACCTTTTCTTGTGGTTGTAATTGTTCTATCAGCGCAGTGTAGGCATTCTCGATGGGTTAAAATTATCATCTGTCATTTGGTTTGAATTTGACACCTTGAACTTTTGCTTTGACACAGGTTCCCATTCTAGCAGTGAAAGAGCATCTGGTAGATGCTGGTGTGGAGGTCAGAATGCTGTAATCTAAGATGGACTAGCCTAACATACCGTGTGAAACCTTTGGTTTATTTGAAATTTTCTATCAGATGTAACAATGGTATCTTGGGAGCATGTGTGGTACAGTGGCAGTGCATAGAATATTGATTGGAAATGCAATTTCGGAATAAATTAATAAGAATGACGCTTTGAGTGCTCAAGTTGTTGCCTTTTCTTCATCATGCCAACCGAGCAAGCAGTAACACGGCTTCTGTCACAGAACGATGTGAAATCGAGGTAACGCTCGGGAGGGCGGGTCGTCCCTGATCCTTAGAGCATTTCCAATAGAAAATATAAATTTAGAGATGTAATTTCTTTTTACATCTCTAAAAAGTGTTTTTTATCTGAAAATAAGGGACAACTCCAACAGACGATGCAAAACGAAGATGTAAAACAGCTGCTCCAATAGAAGATGCAAATGGAGATGTAAAAACTATATTTCAACTAGTACTTCATTTGAGGGAGTGGCGAGGTCGGGCGGCGGCGAGGTCAGGTGAGGTCAGAGCGGTGGCATGCAGAGGTGGGCGGCGACGGGGCGGACAATGCAGGGGCAACGAGGTCGAGCAGCGGCGACAGTGCGGGGGCGGTGAGGTCGGGCGGCGGCGACGGGGCGGACGATGC